ACACCATGAAGCCCCAAACCCTGAATCGCGATTTAGGGCTTAGGGTTTAGGGTTTAGGGTTTAGGGTTTAGGGTTTAGGGTTTAGGGTTTGCAGCCGAAAATCCCTGAAACCTTGAAGCCTGCGACCCTGAACCCGCGCAGAGCCTTTATAGAAGCCGACTAGATACCCGAACGAAACACTTACAGGAAACCTGCACAGAACACTGGAGCCCTAAAGCCCTAAAGCCCTAAAGTCCTAAGCCCTAAGCCCTAAGCCCTAAACCCTAAGCCCTAAACCCTAAACCCTAAACCCTAAACCCTAAACCCTAAAGCCTAAAGCCCAAACCAAAAGCCCTAAACCCAAAACCCTAAACCCTAAAGCCCCACGATCCGGTGCCTTTGGGAAGACATGTGGAAAAGCTCGCCATGTCCCGTCTTCAGCAAACTGAAGGATACGCAGCAGTGCATCCCAAGAAGCAACCTGAACCGTTTTCAAGTCAGGGTTTAGGGTTTAGGCGGGTTTAGGGGTTTGGGTTTAGGGGTTTAGGGTTTAGGGTTTAGGGTTTAGGGCTTTAGGGTTTTAGGGGTTTAGGGTTTAGGGATTTAGGGTTTGGGGTTTAGGGGTTTTAGGGTCTAGGGTTTATGGATTAGGGATTAAGGGTTTAGGGTTTAGGGATTAATGGGTTTAGGGTTTCGGGTTTGGGGTCTAGGGGGTTTGAGGGTGTTAGGAATTTGGAGTTTGGCTTCTTGGGCTTAACGCACGTATGGGGGGGGTGCCCTTTTGAAGAACCTCCCACCTCCATGCCGAACGCAACTGCACCTTGGACGAGGGTCACGACTTCTTGCTGCAAGATGCTAGTTTAGGGGTTTAGTGCTATGGGGGTTCTTGTCTGAACGTTAAAACAGCAACTTACCAGAGGAAGCGTTGTACCAAACACGACCCAAAGAACAGATACACTGCGAGAGGCACAGATGCATCACATGGCGCGGCTGCAAAGACATTGACATGTCGTTTGCACCACCGTAAACCCTAAACCCCATAACCCAAAGCCAAACCCTAAACCCTCAACCCGAAACCCGAAAACCCTAGACCTAAATCCTACTGATATGCCGGGGTCTGATGATTGGAACAGGGTTTTAGGGGGGGTGCACATAGTGTACGACAAATATGACAAAAGACGCTCTGCAACACGCACGTAACACCCTGGAACCAAGAATCACCTAACCGAGACAGCCAGAAAACCGTTCAGATCCCTAAACCCTAAACCCTAAACCCTAGACCTTCGCAACCTAAACCCAAAAGCTTGCACAACCAGACAAACCCTTGAGCCCCAGGAGATGGCAGTGGATGGCTTTAATGTAGGGGCGTTATAATAATTGGAATAGGGTTTTAGGGCTCCTTTATAGTATAGTTAGAACAAGGGGCCCCTCTGTAGTTAGAACAGGGTTTTAGGCTCCTTCGCATGGTAGTTATTATAAGGGGCCCTAAGGAATCATCTTGGTAGTTATTTAGGCTTCTGTATTTAAGGTTTAGGAGGTTTAAGATCCAAGGCGTGGGGCTTAGGGTCTGGGGCGTAAGATCTATGGCTTTTAGGGTTCTGGGTTTTGGGTAAGTCGGAATTTCAGCACATGGTTTCCGAGCTTGTCGCTTGTTTTGTGCTTGGAAGGGCTTGCGAGGGAACAGAACCCGTATGAGACGCGACACGTTCTTTGTTCGAGCTCGGCGTCGGTCAGGCCTAAATGTAGAACAGGGGTGCTGATGTGGCGCATCTAGAGTTGAGGAGTTTCGGGGAGGGGTCCCAAAAACAACGGTTTAAAGTTTAGTGTTCGGGTTGAAGGGCTGGTACGCTGCTTATTGTAAGACTTAAGGCATGCTCAGGCTCGAATTCGTGAGACAACGCAGTGAGGCGGGCTTGGCAGATTCAGCCGCACTCCGACACCGCGGGCACGAGATACTTTCCGTGCACTGAATTCGCTAACCGTGGAGCTGCGCATCTGACAAACTCACTTCAAGCCCCAAGGCCAAAACAACGCCGTGTCGGGCTTAGGGTTTAGGGGTTTTTGGGGCAAGTTTAGGGCCCAAACTCCCGTAGCTCGCAACTCCTAGGCCAATACTTTCCGGAAGCTGCCGGCGCAGGTCCACAAGGATCCTCTGCCTAATATGGGCACCATCAAGTCTAGAATGGGGTGGCGGCCTGATATATCATTATTCAACTGTTTCTGAAAGGGCAGCATCCAATCTTTCAGTTGAAGCCGAAAGAACCACAGTTAGAACAGGTCTCTGCATTGGGCGTAAAGTCCTAGATCCTATCCCTTGTGAGCCCCGAACCCTAAAACCCTAAACCTTAAGCCCTAAACCCTAAACACTAAACCTTAAGTCCTTAAGTCCTAAGTCCCTAAGCCCTAAACCTTAAGTCATTAAGTCCTAAACCTTGTAGGCCCTGCACACTAACTCAAAGGATTAGGCGATCCTTGCATGACGTGATGCAGGTCAGGATCTGGATTCAGGGGTCCTGCTCATCGTACCTGTGGCTGCGCAGAGACTCCCAACCACTACGGTTTAGGGTTTAGGGTCTAGGGTCTAGGGTTTAGGGTCTAGGGTTTGGGGTTTAGGGTTTAGGGTTTAGTATACGTCGAACTGTAGAGGAGGTAACGACCTAATCAATAAACCCAAAACCCTAAACCGGCTTAGGGCGTTTGGGGTGTGGGGTTTTTAAGGCTAGGGTTCAGGGTTTCGGCTACAGGGCCTGCAGGGTTCAGGGCCTAGGGTTACGATGTTCTAGACTAGGGTTTAGGGTTTGGGCTGCAGGATTTCGGGTTTAGGGTTTTGGGTTTTAGGGTTCAGGATTTAGGGTTTAAGGTTAAGGGTTTAGGGTTTGGGGTTTAAGGCTTAGGGTTTAGGGTTTGGGTTTTAGGGTTTAGGGTTTTTTTTTAAAAGTGTATTGGAGCGGACTTTACGACCAATCCAGCCTCGCGAGACCTACACTAAGGTGAGAAGTCAACAGCCTCACAATCCACTTCCGTCCCTACATCATCCACATCAGCAGGGCGATCCGCATCATCAGGGCGATCCGCAGGTACAGGTGCAACATCACCCACAGCCTCCATACTAGGTACATCAAGTAGAGCATCAACACCCTCAGAATCGATTTGTCCTGGTAGGGGAGGCTCATCACACCCAGGCACCGATGCATGTCCAGGAACTGTATCAGGATGCCCTTCAGGACCATGACCAACTGTAACCCTAGCACGAGCTGAGTCAGAAGGAGCACCCCGCCGATCCTCATTCTCGTCGTCCTCCATACAATTGTTCTCCAGGCCCGCATCGACATCGCCAACCCCATCCGAGTGATCACCCTCCCAATCTTCTCGATCGGTTGATACAGCCTCTCCACCCGACGGAATGTCCGTGAGGCCAAAACCGACATTAGGTCGGCCCACACTTCCCGCTAACACATTTCATAGGTGCCTTTCTCGGAACGTCGGCGTTTCACCCCGGAGGCCACGTTGTACTCGAATGTAATCCCACGTGTCTTCGAATGTCCATCGTGGGTCACCCGGCGGTAGCACAGACGGAGCAGGGGCTGGTTGAGGACGTCTGGGCAACGGCGGTCTATCGTAGGGTGCACTCGACGGTCTCGGCCCCTGTCTCCATGGCGGAACAGTGCGAGCCCCTCGTCCTCGAACGCGCCCATCGGCCGCTGCCATCCCTCCATCCAACGCAGGCCCTGCAAGAACACCATTGGCACGAAGCAGGTGCCAAATCTCCGCCACAACCAGCGCCGCAATATGGTTCGCAAGTCGGCGCTCACGATCTGTAAGATCATTCATCAGCGGCGGTACCTCCCCGACTCCTCCAGCTGGATGGATCTCCGGATCTGGCTCATATTGCTCCTCCTCCTCCTGGTTCTCACCCCATGGAGCACCCTCCAAGCTGTCACTCTGTCCCATTCGTCCATCCAACTCAGCCGGCCAATTCTCCTCCTCCTCCTCATTCAGCACCTCATCCTCCGGTCTAGCATCCTGACTCTCGTCTACCACATCCGCGGCCAGCTCAAGTTCCTCATCTCTCACATCTGTACTTTGTCCCTCTTCAAGGTCACCCTCCTCCACACCCATCTCATCTCGAGCTTCATCTCCAAACCCATGTTCCCCAGCTGGGGTTGTGGCAGTCGACGAGCTGGAAGTAGTGGACGTCCCAAGAATCTCTGTCAGGATGGCATCTGTCTCAAGCACTTCGTCCCATGTGGGCGTTCTCGGGATTCCAGGCCGCAAAACCGGCGTCGCCGGAATAACAGGCGTGACCGGATTACCATGTTCATCGAAGGGGGTGACCATCCCGTAGTGCGTCGTTGGTGCCGTTGGAATGAGATGAAGTGGCCGAGGAGGCACCCGGCTACGAAGGCTTCTTGCATGGCGAGGTCTTGGGCCTGGTGCAATCCCCGAAGGAGGCGTAGATGAGGGAAAGGAGTCAGGACTCTGCAAGGGTGCGTTTCCACCAGGTACAGGAGGTCCAGCAGTGGAGCTCAACCCAGGCGGCGCATCACTCGAGGAGGCTAGAGGCGAGCTGTGCGCTGTCGACAGCGGAAAGACGGCCCGCATTGAAGTCGTCCGTGTTGGTGCCACAGGCGTGGAGCTCATCCCCAGTCTCACCGTAGTTGTAGATGGAGGTCTGGAAGGAGTCGACCCACTCGATGGCTCTGCCGTTCCAGTCGGTACTTCCCTCACCCCCGTCATTGCCGCGTGGTCTCTCTTGTAGCCTGCTTGCGTCCCTATCGGTCGTCTAGCCACGTGAACACCAAGCCCCGGCTCTGGTCCTGACGGCAAAGGTGTATGGAGCCTTTCCAGGTCTTGTAGTTCTTGCATGCGAATCAGATGTGCCTCCCGGATCCTGAGTGCTTCCTGGGTCCTGCTGGCCTCCTCGTCCGAATGCTCCATCACTGCTTGGATCACCACGTAGACCAAGTTGCGCCATCTTCTCCCCCACTCCGCATAGTGTCTATGCATGGGCTCATTCACTGGGGGTGCAGTGCGGGGTTCATCAGGAGGACGATAAATGGAGTTGGTTATCATCCCAGCAAGTCGAACAAGAAGTTCACCCGCCTGTCTGATTTCACCCGCAGCCACGTGTGCAGCCCAGCGCACGGAGGGCGGGTGCCCGTATCGCTCTGCGCCATAGGTATCATTGAGCACCTGTTGCGCCGACCTTTGTAGAACATCATGAGCCCAATCGATCCCTGGCGGACGCATGTGCCGGGGCTCTATGACCTGGGAGAAGATCGCGGGCTGTTGGTCCAAACTCATCAGTAAGTGACCTGCTTGATCTGAAGCACCCAACAACTCCCGGTCAACGAGGTCCTGCAACGTCATCTCTTGTAGTTCTTGATCGGTTGCATCCGGGACATAGTCACCCATTTCATGCTGGGTCTCCGAGGTTGTGGAAGTCGTAGAGGTCGTAGAAGTAAAAGAAGCTCCTAAGGGAGAAAAGTCCTCCCCTGCTTCCCCTGAAGTCCCTCCCAGGCCCACTTCTTGTAGTGATGGCGAAGACATCGTAGAATCACCCGATGTGACCGCCACCGTAGACGGAAATCCATCGTTCAGGGTAGTCAAGAAGTCACTGGTCGCCTCCTCAACCTCACCCCCAACAACCAGCCCATCAGAAAACGTCGTGTTGGTGGGAAGAGAAGCTTCACCAGGAGGGAGGTCAACCCCGGATCCGTCCACACTTCCCCCCAGCACCAGGTGAGGGTGCTGCAACAATAAAGAGTGCACCCCCATCTCCACGTTTTCACTCACCGGCATCGGTGTCAGCGTGAGGGACAGCGGGGGAGGAAGCGCCGTACATAGGTGAGTGGTCATCCCATCAGCTGTGTTGGAGGTCGTAGTCGGGCAGGAGGACGTGGAAGACAAGGAGGGCGTGGAGCTTAAAGAGGTCGTCACAGTGGTAGAGGTCAGCGTAGTGAAGTCATGATCCCGCCCCTCTTCCAGCACCGTCACATCCCACCATGTAACACGCAGAGGGTCAAGCATCGCCATCACCAGCGCAGGGGCACCAAGCACCCCAATCAAGGACACCGCCAGCTTCATTGCCATGGCAGCGAGGAGGGATGTCGCGGTCACAAACTCGAGCAAGTTAGCTGCCGATTCACCTAACTGTTGCAGGCAGGTGGTTGGAGAGCCGACAAGCCAGGCCATCGACCTGTGGATAGAGTGCCACCAATATGTGCACTGCGTACCGAAAAGGATGATGAGGTTCAAGAAGCGAATCACATAGAGTCAACATAATGGTAATAGCAAGACAAAGTTCACAGAGTTGGTCAACTGGGTGCATCGCAAGTAGCATCAACGGGGCATCGTCAAGTAAAGGCAAAGAAAAGCGTCAAACACCCACTGAAACTCATCTCAGCCAGGGGAAGCTTCACAAGAGCTCAGTAAGGTGAGGGAAGGAACCCCCTGTTTAGACACTCCCAAGAGCGAGTTGACGACGACGACACCATTGTACGTCTGCATGCGCCAGCCACGTCGGTTTGAGGTTGTTCCATTGATCTCTGGGTTTAGGGTTTACGGTTTGAGGTTGTTCCATTGATCTCTGGGTTTAGGGTTTAGGCTTTAGGCTTTAGGGCTTAGGGTTTAGGGTTTGGGGCTTGGGATCTAAGCATGGGATTGGGCAACATCCCTGACAGGGTGACGGAAGGTGCACAGTGCAAGAACAGTAGCAGCAGTAGCAGTAGCAGTGGGAGTAGGAGTAGGAGTAGGAGTAACAGTAGGAGTAGTAGTGCTAGTAGTGTCGTCGTGGTAGTAGTAGTAGTAGTAGTAGTAGTAGTAGTAGTAGTAGTAGTAGTAGTAGTAGTGGTAGTAGTAGTAGTAGTAGTAGTAGCAGCAGTAGTAGTAGTAGCAGCAGGAGGAGGAGTAGGAGCAGTAGTAGTAGTAGTAGTAGTAGTAGTAGTAGCAGCAGTAGCAGTAGTAGTTGTTGTTGTTGGAGGAGCAGCACTAGCGGAAGAAGAAGAAGGTAGCGCCAGCGGTAGCATCAGTGGTAGCGGCAGCGGTAGCTGTAGCGGTAGCAGCAGCAGGTGCACTAGTAGTAACTAGCCTGAGCCCCAAAATCCAAAAGCCCAAGCTACCCAGACCCCTGCATACCAAGAGGGAGCACTGATCCTCATCACCTGTCGCTCGGGAATCGCCATACACCCCACGCTGCTTGCGGTCCTGAAAGAATGCGGGTTTAGGGTTTGGGGACTGAGGGTTCTGTACTCACAAAGAGTTGTAAAGCAAGCCGGGTTGAAACAAGGTTTCAAAACGGCTTGTGAGTCCTGAATCAGTAACAGTAAGACCCTTAACCCTGAAACCCTTAAAGCCTAAATTCAGTTGAAGTAAACCCTAAACCCCAAACCCTGTTGAAGTCAACCAAAAAGCCCAAACCCTGTTGAAGTAAACCAAAACCCCTAAACAGGGTTGAAGTAAAGCCTAAACCCCAAACCCTGTTGAAGTTCCAGACCAAGCCCAACCCCAAATGCTTCTAGAACCCTGCTCAAGAGCCCTTATCTCCTCTAAATCAAGGAAGCAGACCCCTAAGCGGTGCAAGATCCTGCGGAGTAGCTGGGTTTAGGGTTTAGGGTTCAGGGTTAAGAGGGCCACCCCTAGTCTTAAACCCGAAATCCCTGGCACAGCCCGAAGTCATGGGTTAAGAGTGTAGGGTTTAGGGATCACAACCCCGATTCTTGATACCCCTACACCCTAAACCGCTACACCCTGAAGGTTTGCAGGGCTACGCAATAACCCTAAACCCTCTAAACCCTGAACCCTGAACCCGAAACCCGAAGCCCCTAAACCCTAAACCCAAAGCCCCTAAGCCCTGAAAGCCCTAAACCCTGAACCCTAAACCCTGAACCTAAACCCTGAACCCTTAAACTTGCAAAACCAGACTATGAGCCTCATGTACAGACAGTGCAGACGTAATGTGAAGGCCAGTGGGGCCTCGGTAGGTAAAGCCATTGCGACCCACACAGTCTTGCGGGGTTTAGGGTTTAGGGGTTTAGGGTTTAGGGTTTAGGGTTTAGGGGTTTAGGCTTTAGGGTTTACGGGTTTAGGGTTTAGGGGTTTAGGGTTTAGGGTTTAGGGTTTAGGGGTTTAGGCT